GAGAGGGGGGAGGGGAGGGTGGGGGAGGGGGAGGGGATTTTAAAAGGGATTATTGTTCTTTCACTTCCGTTGTGTCCATCGATGACTTCATTAATTTCTTTATAATCCCTGCGATGCTCCTTTGAGGGTCGATTCACCCGAGAAGCCGCCTGGGGGAAGGATGGGGAAGGATGGGGAAGGATGGGGAAGATGGGAGGAAGGATGGGGAAAGGATGGGGAGGGGGAAGAGCTGTTTCCGTTTCCGCCGTCCTCAATTACGGCTTCTTTTCTGTTCTGTGATACTTGAGATACCTCTAGGAAAATAAGGATGATTTCCTTGGAATTTTCACACCTTGCTTTTCCGATTCCGGATTTCTTTTTCGTTTCACATCGTCATTTCCTCGTCGTTTCTCCCGACTTCCGGTGGGAAACGAAGGGAGAGAGGAACCGAAGGCGGCCTCGACCGACGGACTTCCATCATTCTAATTCTATTCCAATCATCATAAAGGTCAAACGACCTCATTTCCCAGGTGTACGTGACCTCAGGAGCGAAGGACAAGGTGAAAGAGAAGGAGCCGCTGGTGGAAGCGCTGACGACCCCGAAGGCGCCCGCCCCGACCTCGAAGGCTCCCGCCCCGACCTCCCCGCCGCCCGCGCCGTCGGAGGCGAGGTCGAGCGACGTGACCTCGCTCACGCCGTCCTCCACGGTGACCCAGCGCTTCCAGGGTGAGGTCAACACGGGAAGAGTCCCGGAGGACTTTGCGGCCGCGGGGTCGCAGATTCACAACAGCGAGGTCCGTTCCCCAAAAATTGATATTTCTAAATTTAATCTCTCATTTTAAACGCATATTTTCTTTTCTATATTTTATTTATAATACTGACAATATTATTATTGGTTTGTCCGTTGCCACTACAGGTGGTGCTCCTCGGAGACGATGGAGTCTACACGAACGGCCTGACGGGGGAGAAGGGAACCGGAGGCGACTGGAACTTCCGAGGACCGGGGATCGGGAACGCTCTCGGGTGGACCGACCGGGGCTCCTACACCCGGCGACTCAACATGACCCGTGTCGAACGTGAGTGAGAGGGGGTCGCTTTCTGTGGGGGTTGCCAGGGGTTACGAGGGGTTGCCTGAGGGGAGAGTGAGGTCTCACTGAGATCCGATCGCGTCCACTTCTCGGGTCGGTACGACGACCGAAGGCGAAGGGCCCGGGAGACCTGTGCCACCGTGCCGTGCCGTCGTGCCTTGCCATGGTGGCTTGCAATCGTATGCGGGCGGATGCGTCGAAGAACGATGAGAAACGGCGAAGAACTCAAAAGACGGAGGGAATAGAAGCAGACGACCTTGAAATCTTGAGGACGTCGTCACTTTCGGGAATTCTTGCCGGTCAGAAAGCGCGACTGTGGGAACGGGGACTCTGGTGTGTCATCACCGGGGATTCTAGCCCCCCGCGGTGGGGATCTCCCTTCTTCCCCCCCCCCCATCCTCCATTCCCCCCTTTCCCCCCCGCGGACTCATTGAAGCGAACGTACTGTGAGAGGCAATCCCCGGCTTTCCCAGTCCAATCTGGGGCTCTGGGTCCTTTCACAACCCTCTCTCCACCATTTCTCCAGCCTCTCTCCACCTTCTCTCCGCTCATACCAAAAGACGAAACCCAGAGATTCGGACCGAATAGCTCCCTGGTTCCGCCGCCTGACTCCAACCGAGAACCGACTCGCAAGCCGGAAGACAAAAGTTGCCAACTGACCCGATGCCATCTCACTTAATTCACCCCTTTCTTGTTTCTGCATCGTCAGCACTGCACTATCTCGAAGCGATTTCGCAGTCCCCGTTACCCTTAATTCCTTTTTTTTTTTTGCACTGCGAACAGCTACGGCCATTCTCCAAGCAATCAACGAATTCCTTCGACCGCCTTTAACTTCACAAAAACAACTCACTTAATTTTTTATATTTTAACGTAATTTTTTTAACCTTTTAAACTCATTTTTAAATATAATTTTTAACTTTGTTTTAAATTCATTTATTAAATTTAAATTCTAAAATTTAATTAATTAATTTTTTTTCAGACATCGAAGCCGAGTGCCAGGACGACTTCATGAAGCTCTACGTCCGCTTCAACGGCACCTTCGCCGGCCTCATCTACAGCTCCGGCTACAGCTACGACCCCGACTGCATCTACATCAACGGCACCGGCCGAACCGCCTACGAATTCTACATCCAGCTCAACCGCTGCGGCACTCTCGGCGGGAACAACCACAATCAGGTGGACAAGAGCCGATCCACCCCGACTGTGAGTATACCATTCCAATAAAAAAAATTTTTTTTTTTAATTATATTTTTGGTTTCGCTTTCATTTTATATTATTTTCATATGCATACATATATATATATAATTTTTAAGAATATGAAATAAAAATAAACGAAACCAAAAGTATAATGTATTATGTGTATAGAAATAAATAAATAATTATTTATTTATTTGCACTGTACAGCATTGCATAAATAAATATATATATATATTTGTCGGTTTATCCCCCCTGCTGGCACACGATGGCCCGAAACTCCTCGAGTCTCCACGGTCCGGCGCGCACGTCCGGGGATGCATTAGCACGTCCGGGGACGCATTAGCACGTCCGCGGACGCATTAGCACGTCACCCCGGAGACGAGCAGATTCATGACTCCAGTTTTTCTGCAACTCATTGCTTTTATTATTCGACGTGATTATCATAAACATTATGCATGACGGCCTCGGGAAGAATGAGGGCTGCAGGCCCCTGTCACAGGCCCCTGTCACAGGCCCCTCTTGAATTGCCCTGCCAGTTTTCTTTCGAAAGGCTGAAGAATATGACTGCTTAATTAATGAGATTTTTTGATAAGGTATATCATTATCATTTCAATGCAGACTGCTGATGAAGTGTTATTGTTCCAAGTGCTTTTGTCCATTCGACACCTGATTTACAATCGGAATTGCGCTGGGATGGTTTTGACAGCGGAATTGAATATGTGATTTGGCGCGTTTCTGAGTGCTTTGTAATTGAAATGAATTTGTAATTTTAATTGTAATTGAAAGGACAATGGTACTTGTTTTGATTGCGATTCCTCGCTGAGATTTTCGCGTTGCTAATTTCCATTGTGAATTATTTTGAAAAAAAATGTTTGTTTGTATAGCATTTTTTTTTGTACCGACTGTTGAAATGCGGTTACGATTTTGTTTCCCTCTGACTTCCTTTGGTTCGGGCGATGCTTTCAATATTCGACTGAAGAGGGCAGCACTGCCCAGAAGTTAAAGCATGGGCGTAGTTTCAACTCTGCAAAATCGATTGAATGCGAAAATGAGTAGGGACTCGGATGCATTTAAATGTAATTTTGATAACATGCATATGTATAAAATGTATAAAATAAAATGTTAAACATACTTTTTTTTTAAGAATGTGTTCGCCATAGCCAATTTTAACGTTTGTGCAATTTTTTATCTGTCCCTTGCAGAAGAACTTCATGTGGAACACGGTGACGGTGCAGTACAACTCCATGATCGAGGAGGAATGGGACGAGCACTTCAAGGTCACCTGCGAGTACGGCTACGACTTCTGGAAGACGGTCACCTTCCCCATGCTGGACGTCCAGTAAGGAAGCGCCGCGCGCGAATGAGCGAGCGGGAGGAGATGGAGGGGGGTGGGGGCCCGCCACGGCGTCAAGGATTTCGTCCGAGGAAAACGCGTTTCCGCGTCGGATGGAGTTCGCGAGGAAAATCTGGGAAAAAAGGCAAAAATGCGAAAAATGGAAATAAAACGGGAATCTCGTGGAAGGATTCCCAACCGAGTCGCCCGGATCCGAACGGAATCCTCGACCGCGTGAAAGGGCCCTTACACGCCCCTGCATTCACATCTTACCGTGTGCCCTGTCGTATATGATGCACGCTGTATATATATACCAGCATGCAGAACGCAGTGGAGCGGCCAAAGCCAAAGCCAATTCCAAAGCCAAAGCCGGGCGAAGGATTCCTCCAAGGGGAATCCCAGATTCAGGAACCCCACGAACAGGAATCCCAGGTTGAGAATAAGGAATCTCCCTTACAGGAATCCCCCTCCACCCCGAAATGGTGAGCCTCATCCTCTCGATTCGCTCCGGTTCCCTCGGATGTGAATTGATTCCCACGGAAGTGAATTGAATCGAAGCCGACAGGGCACACGACTTAACTCGAGTCCTCGGCTTTGGCTTCCCCGCTGCATTCTGCATGTTATTTGCTAATATTTATGCATTTACGTTTTGCTAATATTTTTGCATCGAATGCCGATTCTTAACTCGTGGGATGGCATGGGATCGGCGAATTTCGCAAAATTCGCCGATTCGACCGGAGGGAATTGCACTAACGCTCGCATGCACCCGCTTCACCCCCCCCCTGCCCCCCCCCCCCCCCCCCCCCGCGACGCTCACCCCGACGCTAACGCCGACGATATCGCCTCCCAAGGGTGGCGACGGGGAACCCGGTCGTCTTCACGCTCACGCCGCCGGAGTGCTTCATGGAGATCCGCTACGGGTACGGGACGAACGGGAACCGGATCACGGGGCCCGTCCGCGTCGGCGACCCCCTCACTCTCGTCATCTTCATGCGGTCCCAATACGGTAAGGTCCTCACCATCACCATAATAACGTGACTGATCATAATCGTGATTAGTAATGCTGCATGGATTCTGATGGTGATTGTCTATGAATAATAAAGAATAATAATAATGAGGAAGAATAATGAAAAATAATAATGAAGAAGAGAAATCGCTCGTAGCTTTGCATTGGGACGAGAAATTTTCATGGAATTTCAAGGAACATATTAATCGATGCACGATGGAAATTTCGTAAGAATGCGTTCGTTTCTTTCCCCGGAGCAGAGGGCTTCGACATCGTGGTGAACAACTGCTACGCCCACAACGGAGCCAACAAACGGATCCCCCTCATCGACCGACTCGGGTGCAAATTTATTTTGATTGTATTATATTTAATATGTTATTTACCGGACGAAGTAACGAGGGTGGTTTTGACGCAGGTGCCCGGTGGACGAGAAGCTGATCAGCAGCTTCCAGGGAACGTGGTCCAACGATGGCGTCTACGAGACCCAGGTCTACGCCTACCTGAAGGCCTTCCGGTTCACGGGGAGCCCTGCGCTCTACTTGGAGTGCGAGGTCCGGATGTGCCACGGATACTGTCCCGTACGTGTGATTTGACTCCTTCTTGAGCATTTTGATTGCTGGGGAATTTGGAGTCGGTTTTGTTGAGCTGTTTGGGTGTTGGAATTTTTGACGCAGAGCAGGTGAATCGATTAAAAACTTGGGGGAAATTTTTTTAGCGCAATTTTTGCGCTAGGAAACGTTGTGATAATTTGTATAACGATTTTTACATATATATTTTTTTATATGGTCTCTCCAGAAAAAAAAGATTCAGTCGAAGAAATTTGCTAATTGTTGTTGTTTCGGGATTACAGTCTCAGCCGTGCCATTGGCGATCGGCGGGGAGACGCCGACGTTCCATCCTGGAGGGAGAGGACGCGAGGATCATCGAGGGAGACTCGTTGGAACTGGACGGAGAGAACGGGACGCTGTCCGAGACGCTCAGCCTCTTCCAGGCCCTCGAGGTCCTCAAGGACGCTGTCATCCCAGCGCAAGGGCAGTCCGCCAACTCCTCCACCTCCTCGGATGCCACGAGAGGTATGGGGAGTGGATGTGGGGTTGATTGGGGGAGGATGGTTGTGGATGTGGGGTTGATTGGGGTAGGATGGTTGTGGATGAGGGGTAGACGAGGGGTTGATTGGGGTCTGTGTGTTGCAGAAGTGCTGCGGGATCCGGAGACGTTCTGTCTGAAGACAGGGATCTTCACTGCTCTCTGTGGTTAGTTTCTTTGCTGTGGTTCCGACTAGGATTATTTCTGCAGCTTTCTTTCAGCTTTCAATTTCTTTGATCGATTCCGGGAGAGTCCGTCCAAGGCTCGAACTTTTTGCTGCGAAGTAGCTCCCGACGGCTGCAAAGCCTAATTTTTATTTATGAGTGAAACATATTCGGATGGGTGAGTTCCCAATACCATCCAAAACTTCAGTAATTCTAATGCCGTCTGGAATGCATTGGAGTTTCTCAAATTTCGAATCTGGCATTTCTATTTTAATTCCTCGACGAATTCCTCTTAAAAGCATCCTTTAACTTCGAGATCTTAATTATTATTATCATTAATAATCTGCTCGGATGCAGGAGCGGCGGGGCTACTGGTGCTGCTCCTGTCGACGATCTCGTGCTGCCTCTGCGTCCGCCTGCGGCGGTCCAGCAAGGACTCGGACGACCGCCTGGAACGGGCAGCCGACTTCGTGCCGCCGTCGAAGCGCCGCCTTCGCTGATGCGTCCGGGGCCGCCTTCCTCTCACGTGGCAGCTGGCTCGAAGCCTAGTGTGATCCTGTGCGTGTCGGTGATGAACGCGGGTTGTGCGTGAGTTCTGGAATTTCGCAAGGATTGTTACAGATGCATGACGTGGCCATGCAATTTTTTTGTAGAAAAACAGGGCATTTAGAAAAAATGTTTCTTCTCGTTTGCATGTTTCCGAGTTGTTCAAGTTTGTTTTCTATAGAATGTGTCCCAAAGCATTGTGTGATACTCGAGTTTGGACCCCTATTTATTGTATTTATTTTCTATTTATCCGTCTCCGAGTGGACTTTCTCACCTGGACGGCCCCAGCGACGTCCCAGGCGCGCCTGTCGCCCGCGCGGTGCGGCGCCGACGACGTCGCGGAGTCCAAGGCGATGTATGGCTGGTTCCTGTGAAATAAACTCGATTGAAAGTCGCACTTTATTTTCTTTTTTCTCCGTAAATCTTCTGAGAAAAAAGTTGCAAAATAACCCTGGTTAAAGAAGCTAAAGGTTAAATGGGAACCGATGGATCCAGAAATGGAGTCCGACAACCGTGCTTCCCCGTTCCGTTCCTTCAGTCTGCTCCAGTGTCTCGTCCGACCGAAGTTGACACTTTCCTCGAGCCCATATTCTGTGTTTTTTGCGATTCGGCACGAGCTCGTGAATGCCCTGGATTTTGCAAATGTTGGCTTCGATCTGTTCGTCATCGGTCTCATCCGTGAGCTTTCCTTCGTATTTTTCAGTCCAAGAATAGAAAAGTATTTGGAAGCGAAAAATGTTCACCCAAGGCAGTTTCCTGAAGCTCCAGTTCGTTGAGGCGAGAGAAGATGAGGAGGAGAATCCTCTCATCTTCACAGCTTCCCCCTCGAATCAAGATCCATACTCCCATTCTTGGCTCCAGAGTTCGCCCGAGGACGAAAAAGCGATGAAAAAGCGAAAAAGAAAAAAAGGCGGAAAAAAAAGAAAGGCGGTTTACGCGACAGAAGATCTGATAAGGAAAGAATGCCTTCGAGCCATGGGCGGCGATGTTTCACTTCAATTCTGACTTGATTTTTTTTTGTTAAGGGTGCAGCCATCACGGAGACCAGCTGAGACCTCCGCCTGGAGCTCTTACGGATGAGATCATCGTCGCGTCTGGAGCTCTGACGGCTGAGACCACCGTTTTGCAAGGAGCTCTTAAGAATATCAAGATTTTATATATCATTTTTGCATTCCGAAAAAAAATAATATAAAGAATTATGCAAATCAATGTGTCGATGGGAGGAGACGTTGATTACATTCGTGGTTCTTTATTTTCAGAGACGAGTCCTTGCCCATGTCCTTGATTGGCCTGAAGAAAAAGCAGCCTCGCGGACAGAAGCGAGAGGTAACTAAGTTTAGCCTCGCTCAGAATATTGAATTGAAATCAAAATTCAATTGGAAGCAAACTTTAATTCTTTCCGAAGTAAAATTGGTCAATATTGACTAGGGCTGGGCGATATTGATTTTTAAAGTATCCATATCGCCGACCGATATCGTCCGATATCGCGATATCGCCAGGGTTCAGTCGGGGGAGGGGGGGGGGGCTTGGTATTATTGGCGCATTTATTTCAGGACAAAACCTCTTTCTTTTATTTATATTATTTCATGTATTTTATTTATTGGTTATGGTTCTGACATGATCTTGAATGCATGACATCACGGTAGTTAAAAGCTAGGAGAGAGAACACATCGACGATCCCTCTGTCGCAAAGCATGCAAGGCCAGGTCGGCAAGCGATCTCCATTTCGCCGCTTTATTAATGCAAGATCGAACGAGATCGATGTCATTGATTTCGTCGGGCGGCTCTGCTTCTGTCCGTGTGGGTTATGATGATTGCCTTGTTTGACCCCAGAAACTGGAATTTTTCTTCAAAGATTGGCGTGGTTCCATCATACTGACTGACTGAATCCGAGTGATTATTTCCATCATTTCGCCTCGAGGAAATTTTCCTGGAAGAGAAAGAATCCGGGAGGATTAGAGTCCTCAGATTATCCGCTGACTCCCTCCCTCATCTCATCGGTTTTTGTCAAGGCCGACAGTCAATCCTTACGTTGTTATTGTTATTGTTATTGCCGTTATTGTTAATGGCGCGGTTCGTGTGCTCTGTTTCCCCTCTCCCGCGACGATAGAGGAGTAAAAAAAAAATTATTTACAAAATTTATATATGCAGACATATCGCCGATAAGACACCCATCGAACGATATCGCGATATCGCGATAATCGGCACAGCCCTAATATTGACCAATTTTGCAGATGTCCTCTAAGATCGAGACATCTTGATAAAGGTTGGAGAGACCTTTGGTCTCGTTCACTCCTAAAGTTGGACATAAGCGACATGTTGGACGTGAACATGAATAATGGAGGATGAACAATTTCGAGGAAAACAAAGTTGGAAGATGAGAAGCCACAACGGCGTGTAAAAGGTGGAACCTGTGTTGTCGCAACGTTGAAATGAAACAGTTCGTGTTCAGCGTTGAATTGTCCTGAGATTGAAAATGTGTGGGCTTGGGAGTACTTGGGAGTACTGTAGCGAGTACTACCATCTCACGGTTGGGCCCTTTTGAGACCGTAAATTTTTTTTTTACTGGATCAAATTCTTTTACAGCTCGTTCTGCCCGGCAGCGGAATCGTCTCCGGATTTTTGTTCCTCTCGGCCAGGCGAATTCCTCATGTTTCCTTGGGGGTCTTTCCCTTCAGTCGTACGTGGGAAATGGTCGGGTACTGTGCGGAAAGTACGGGGCAACAGGGTGTTTCTCGGGGCAACAGGGTGTTTCTCGGGGCAACAGGGTGTTTCTCGGGGCAACAGGGTGAGGATCGCGGAATCCGCGGTTGGGCGCCATCTCGCGTTGGTCGGCGGAGATATTGTGGATTATTCCATGTTGAAATGACGTTGAGACTATGATGAAGGCAAACGTGGAAAACGAATTAGCAAAGGACTTCGCTAATCCACGAGTATATGCTGAAAGTGCGGCTCGTCACGAACTACCGGCATTTCATTGCTGAATTCTTCGACCGAGTCGCAACATTCCAACATCTTGTCCATGTTGACACAGCGTGGCCGATTGGGTTCACGTGCATACGGGCTGGAAATATGAAGATTCACGCAAAATATAAGTGCGCGCTTTCGCTTTCACCTGAACGTCGGGCAAAAGATCCGTTCAATGTGGAAACCTCGAAAATGGTTTTCCGCATTTTTTAGATGTATGCCGTCGCAGCCCAAACCCTCGCCTTCCTTCCGTTGCACCATTTCCATGCTGAAAATGAAGTGAATCTTGGCACGTAATCCATTCGCATCCCTGACAACCCTGAGTTGTCGGATCCAACCAATCTGACAACCCTGAGTTGTCGGATTTTTCTCCTGGGTTTCTGCACCGCGATGACGGCTGATGGCTTATCGTTCCCAACAGGTCGACACGCGGGGACGCGAAAGGAAACATGTCAGCTCGAGCGGGGCTGTTTTTTCCTCAACGGGTGGTTTCACATCCTGGAATGACTCGTTTTCCCCCTAAAAGAAAATATTTTGCATGCACGTGCACGCCGTGGAGTGTTATCTCACGTCGACGGAAGCCGTGATCGAACCACCTGCCATTGAACCACCTGGTGATGAACCACTTGCTCGGTCGTCTGGGTCCCGCGAGCGCATCGTGGGAATCCGCCAAATTTCTCCCAATTCCTCGGATTCCAGGAATTTGCAAAATTGGGAAATAGGACGAAGTTTCGACCTTTCAGGGATTTCGATTTTTTTTCTCGCTTTGTCTTTTCCCGATGAAATGCCAGAGCCACCAGTATGCATGCGAATTATCAACGAATTATCTTCCAGGGTAACTCTGATCCAGCGCAGAGCTTTCATCACAAACAAAGCAGAGCAAAAACTTAACTGTGTAACGGTTACCGGTCGGCGGTTCCTACCGTTCTGTTAATAGATGCCCCTCATGGATGCCTCTCATGGATGCCCCTCATGGATGCCCCTCATGGATGCCCCTCATGGATGCCCCTCATGGATGCCCCTCATGGATGCCCCTCATGGATGCCCCTAAAAAAAAAAAAAAAAAAAAAAAAAAAAAAGAGAAGAAAGTTGGACCTTGCTTTATTCGCTGTCATGATGATGGAGCAAAATTCCACCCACAAAATCTGAGGAAAAAAAAAGAAGAAGAAATTCTTCGGTCACGAGGTTGTCGAAGTCATTCTCCCGGTTTTGCCCCGGTCTCGGTCCCAACACCTGCCGAGGATCAGACAGATTCGGAATCCTCAGAGCGCCTTTGAGAACTGCATTTTTGCCTAATCAAAAATTACACTCGAATGGAATGCAAGCGCTCCATATTTAATTTCAACTCGATATCAACGCTCCAGAACGATGAGAACGAAAAAAAAAATTAAATTGAGTACCGAGATTCGAACTCGAGTCTTGCAACCGCGAATTGAACGCTCTACTTGTCGGCCACGGGCTGAGCGGATCCGGCGAGCTGAAAAACTGGCGTTTTCAATGGAAAGGGGAGGTTGGACGAGTCCATCTCGCGTCGAGGGGAGGTCGCGTCGAGGGGTCCCAAGGTCAAATGAAGGTGACAGGGGCCGTCAGGGAGAACGACGAAAATCTCGCCTCTTGCTGTTTTTTCGAACCAGGAAAAAAGTGGCGGTTCAAGGTCGAATTCAGTGACGTCATCCCCCTGCCGACCTCCCCTTTCGGGGGAAGTGGACTCGCCCGCCCCCTGCCCACCCCCGAATCGGAGAATGGACTCGTCCGTGCGGGTTCTCTTCGAATCCCGTTTTCGGCCTCCTTCCCCCCTTTCGAAGCGTTCCGCTTTCTATTTCAGAACTTCTGTCGCTCGCGGCTTCGCCCTCGATCGGTTCGTGTCGGGCCAGAGGGGTAATTAAACTCGAGGGCAAATTGGGAAATAAATGTCTGCTTTTATTCGGGGACTTCTGAATCGTGAAATGGCGAAATTTCGTCGGCGGAAAAATGTGGAAATCACAGG